TGTTTATTTATCAGAGTATTTTCAAATTTTATTTAATGTTCTAATTATAGCAATTTCACTGAAGAAACTATTGAGCAACAAAAGATCTCATAATGATGCCCGTATAAAACCACTACAAAATAAATAAATAAAATAAAATAAAATAAAACACTACAGGTATTCTCTGCTTTTCAAAAGTTCATGCTACACCACTTTGACAAAACACCTGTATACCTGTTTTTGCTAACTGAAAAAAAATCCAAAGAGGACTTTCATTTGTTTTAGCTTTTTTAAAAATATATTTTACTGATTATGCCATTACAGTTGTCCTATTTCCCCCCTTCATTCCCCTCCACCCTGCACACCCCTCCCCCACCTTCCCCCCTTTAGTTTATGATCATGTGTCTCAAGTTCTTTAGATTCTATATTTCCCATACTATTCTTGCCCTCCCCCCTATCTATTTTCTACCTACCATCTATGCTACTTATTTTCTGTACCTTCTCCCCCCTTCTCCTCCTCCCACTCCCCTGTTGATAACCCTCCATGAGATCTTCATTTCTATGGTTCCGCCCCTGATCTAGCTGTCCTCTTAATTTGCTTTTGTTTTAGGTGTGGTTCTTAATAACTGTGAGTTTGCTGTCCTTTCACTGTTCATATTTTTTATCCTCTTTTTCTTAGATGAAAAAAGGAGAAAGGTAAAAACCGTGCTGAGCATTTATTTTTTAGCAAGCCATGGCAGGGGTAGTATGTGCCCTGGGCAGCAAGAGTGGCACTACTTTTCCTTTATGTTAGTGTTATATTTTGGTTTTATGTGCTATTTGGCATGGTTGGTGGGTTATTTGGGGGGCCAAAATTTTCCATATAAATTAATGGTACAGTCCCCTCTTGAACACCACAGGTTTGAATGAGTCCATTTATATTGCAGAATATTTTCAGTAAATACTGTAAATTTGTTTTCTCTTCCTTATGAGTTTCTTAGTAACCTTCTTTTATCTACCTTGTAAGGATACAGTATACAATACATATAACAAAAATATGTTAATCGACTGTTTATGTTATCAGTAGGCTTTTAGTCAACAATAGGCTATATCAGTAGTTAAGTTTTCGGGGAGTCAAAAGTTACACATGGATGTTTGACTGCCAGAGGGGTTGGTGCTTCTCACACCAGCCCACCCCCACCCCTTCTCTCTGCTGTTCAAGGTCTTTCTGCTGTTCAAGGGTCAACTGTAATTGCTTCTTCATTTTACAAAAGATTTCACAGGAACACTCTAGTTTTATATGGGGAAAACCTGTAGTTACTATAGATTCCACTACAAACTTCAACTAATCCAACTCTTTGTCCTGTAAACTCTAAGCCTTTCTAATAAATTCCAAGCCTGGAACGCTACCTTTCAGACGTGATAGGCCGAGCTTTATTCACTTCTACAGGATGGGAAAGAGGGAGGCAGGATCTCCATTACAGCTTCTTTCAGGATGTCAGAAGTTCCCCAAAAGGGGATTGCCATGTGCCATTATTACTCTTAACAACTAAAAATTGCCTTTTTAACTAGAATTGATAGCAAACGGAAAATAGAAATCAGGAGTGACAAAAGTAAAACAAAATGGGAGAGGAATAGGAAAGCAAAAGAGTAAAGACCACCTTCACCCACCTATTTCATATGGTGCCATCGAGGGTCAGCTACTAGACCGGCGCTGCCTTTTTTTTTTTAATTCAATCATCACACTAAGATGTCACTGTCTCATGCCTGTGGGTCAACAGGCACCAGGTTCATGGTCAAAAACTCACCTATTTTCCCATTCTCTTCTAAATACCAGTCCTTGCCCTAAACGGATTCATGAAAATGGGTACCAACCAATCAATGCAATTTTATCACCGTTACTGAGGAAAACAACACCACCACAACAGGAAAACCTGACCTGTGAGTCAGCCCATTCTACAAATTTAACTTAGGAAGAACTCCCTGATAGGCTTGGGTCAGACAGATGTAAGAAAACAGGCTCTGCTACTTACTGGTCCTAAGTGTAACCTTGGACAAGTTAATTTTTCATAGCTCTAAAGCTAAACCACACTAAGGTAGAGCTTGACATTAAAAAAAAATGCTCCAGTGATGCCAGCCCTCACTGCCTCCCAGAGGTAAAATGCTGGGAGTTAGGGGCACAGAGATGAAGCCAAGCCCACCTGTGTTGCAAGTCTGGCTTTGCAGCATGTTGGCTGTGAAACAGTAAGCAAATGGCAGTCATCTTTGTCATAAAGGTGGGATAATGAATTGAAGCATTTACCTAGTGCCTAGCATACACCAAATGTCAATAAATGGCAGCTACTTTTCAATTGTTAATACAAGAAAGGGATATTATTATCAGTGTTTATCAATGTTTCTCAAAGAGTAGTCAGGGAACAATGAGTATCAGTAAGACCTGACATGTCTGGGGGGAAAAAAAGAAAAAAACATGTCCCAGCCCAACCTATTCAAAAATGCTGTCCAAGAATGGTACCTGGGAATATTTATTTCTGAATAGAACTTCCTTGAGATGCATACTGAAATTTAAGAATTACTGATCCAGCTGGCTTTGTGTTGTCATAGTAAATTAAGGCTTATCTTCCAGTACTTCTTTACATTACTAAAATTGTCAAGTAACTGGTTTATTTGTTTGTTTGTTTGTTTAAATATATCTGGGCACTGTTTTGGACCTAGACATTGAACAGACAGGTTCACTCCTACTCTGTTTCCCAGTGGTGTTACCTTGACCTTTTCTCCCCCTCTCTGACAAGCTGGCAAACTATGTATGGCCTTGGTCTGTGGCCAATTTTGTACAGCCCCAACCTCCAGAGGAACATGTGTTCAAAGGGTTGTTTTAAAAAAAAAAGAATATGCGATATAACCCAAATGTGTCTCACAAAGTCTATATAAAGTATTTACTGCTTGAACCTTTACAAAAAAGTTTACCAGCCACTGGCACCCTGAAAATGTTTTTAAACTCAAGTCTCGACACAATTTGTTTTTTTTAAAGGAGAGGATTATAACAGAAAATATTCTAGTAGACATTTTCTACTGCACCTAGTAGAAGGAAGTACCACTGCCAAAGTTTCTGATGTTTTGGGTGTGTGTGTATGTGTGTACTGGGTAATGATCCAATTGCATTTGGTTGAAATCAAAAAAGTTTTTAAGTCGTTGAAGGTGGTAAAATTGGTTAACAAGTATGTATTAAAACTCACACTGAGTAATTTTTACAATAAGGGTACCTTGGAAAATATAAAACCATACAAAATGATCCCTGCTGTTTATAAGTTAATACCTTATTTTTTCATTGCAAAACAGAAATGAAATCTGCTGTGTGTAATATACATGGCTGTAAAGGAAAAATGGAATTATCAATGCCAAGTACTTCAAAAGCATTATACAAACAAAGTAGTTTAGTTATACTAAATTGTATTGAGCACAATCAGGTTCTTTAACAACTCCCTTAGTTCCCAGTTTCCTCCAACCTTGGAAACAATTCTTTTTCCCTTTGTGTGTGTGCATGTGCACATGTATGCACATATGTGCGCATGGGTGTTGGAAGCATAAAAAAATAACATTAGATGCCTCTGTCCTTTGTGTTATCCATTAATGGATTCTCCTCGTTTATTTAAAATACATATTCTTCTATTCTTTTCTTGCTTCTAGTAAGAAAATTATTTGATTAAATTCTTGTACAAAAAAATTTAAGGCTGATTTAAAAATTTTAAGTAACAATCTTTCCCTTTATCTTCACAGAGCACTAATTTCCAGGGATTTTGTGACTGTTTTGTACAAGCTAAAAATACATTAATTTATAATATGGTTCAACAACTTTGCAAAGAAACACCTTCCTAGGTATACACACGAGAGGATGACACTTGAAAATGTTTTCATTATATGAAATGCACTGCAAGCACACAAGCCGCAAGTAATGTAAATAAATAAAAGCTGCTGCGATGCTGAATGATTGCCTTACACCACAAAGAGAAACACTTGCACAGTGCACAATGTTGTTTTAACTTGGGATGCCACAAAGATGGGATTTACGCATTTGTGTAAACACAGGAGGCTGCAAATGTGGGTGTGTGTTAGGGAAAGAGGATTGTAAGCAGAAGGGGTGGGACTTGCCAGGAGCAGCTATTTGAGAAAATTCCTTTTTCTTTCCCATTCATTCTTTCTAGCTTCAGAGTGTGGCACGGTCTTTGCAATTACTCACTGGCTTTTCATTCTAAAGACAACTACCAAGCTTTCAAAACTTCCTACAGTTTTTTCAAATGCTTATTTTTTAAGCGGCTCCAAATCGCTCAATATTTATTTTATATAAAAAACAAACTATTAGCCCGTTTCCTCATTCGAAAGACCCAGTACGTTACAGGTTAAAAAGGATCCTTTGCTGCGTGTCTGAAAATAACACAACACAGCACTGGTAAATTGGAAAATAAGGGATTACTTTGTTTTCAAGAATGTCAAAGCTATTACCATGCATTTTGTTCTGCCCCAATTTCATGCACCTTTTAGAGAATTTGCACTCCTAACAACAAAGCCAATCCAATCGAACACCCCTCGCCTTTTTGTTTAGGACACTCCATTAATAAACATAAGAGCTGAAAGAGGATGCCAAGCGGGCCAGTTTTCTTTATGCACAATGGTATCCGTCCAAAGCAATATCTCCAACCACAATGAAAGTTGTCTTGCAGATGCCCACCCCCAACCGGTCATCCTTGGCCTTACAGCCCAGGATCAGAGGAGCAGACGGGCAGAGAACCTTACCTTTCAGCTTCCCACTCCAGAGGAGGGGACAAGGGGAAAGGCATGACAAGAGAGCAGAGTACGAAGGTGGGCGAATAGGAGAGTCAGAAATGGATGCTGAGGGGGTGGGCGAAATGGGAAGGTAGGGAAGGTGGATAATGCAGGGAGAAGTGGGTGAGCAAGGATGCAGAATTCAAGAGCACAAGGGAGAAAGGCGGTGGGGAGAGGGGGCGGACAGGGGGAGAGGGGGCGGGCAGGGGGTCAGTCCTCACCGTTGAACGCCCCTGTTTCCGTGGCCTCCTCCTCCTCTTCCTGCTCCCCGTTCTCGGAGTCGGTGTGCATGGGCTCCTCCGCAAAGTTGACCCCCTTACTGGGGGTTCCGCCCCCAACGGCGGTGCCCGCGTCCCCCCAGGTCCTGCCCTCATGGCCGGAGCGCGCGGCGCCTTTGCACTCGTTTTCCTGCTGCAGGCGCGTGAAGTGCTGCAGCGCGAACTCCAGCAGGTCCGCGGGCTGGTGCCTCAGCACCTCCACGGTGAAACCCTGCAGCAGCTCCGTCAGTCCCGCCGGAATCTCGATGCTCATCCTGCCTTCCGGGCGGCGGGCGCCTGCGCGCCGCCCTCGCCCCCTCCCCGGACAAGCCTCGGGCCCCCCGGCCGCCTACCAAGCGCAGAGGGTGCTGGAAGCGCTACCGGCTGCGAGTGTGGCGCAATGGGCCCCAGCGGACGACTGGTTCAGCACGAGGCTGCTCGGCTCGGCGGCGATAGCAGAGCGAGCGCGGCCCCGGGAGGGCTGGCAGCATCTCCGGCTCCTCCCGCTCCCGCCGCGGCCGCGTCTCTCCCCCGCCCGGACCGCCCCTCCCCCACCCCTCCGCAGCGCGGGACGGAGCTCCCGGGTGCGCCCACGTGACACCCCGGAAACCATGGTAACCCAGCGGGCGGGCGGGCGGGTTTGCGGGGAACGTCGCTCCCGCGCGCGGCCGAGGCGTGGGGCCTCCACTCCACAGTACCCGGGGTTGTGCACTCCCCGCCCCGAAACGAGCCTCGCCTAGCCGTCCACCTGTCGGCACGCCCCGAGCAGGCTGGCCTGGCCACAAAGCCGAATTCTTACGTATCTTTCACCCGGGGGAACCCACGCTGGTGCCACAAGGTTTGCCCTGAAACTTAAGCCCCCACCTCGGTAGCGCATTTTATTTTTTTCCGAGAATCTAGTTGAATTGATAAGTGTTTGTAATATCTTTTGTTAAAGAGTCATACTGGTTCTCTTTGGATAAAGAAAAAATGTTTGTGACACCTTCCTTTTTCTTTCACCACATTTTATCCAGCCTTTCTCCATCCATCCTGTTTATTGTGTTTTGATTTAATGATATTATTCCATTTTCCACCGTATGCATTTACTACTACTTATTGAGGTAAATGCACCGTTTATTGTGAGGCACCTATCAAAGTTAGTGAATACCTTTCAAGTAGGATAGTGGAGAAACTGGAATAAAATATCATGGTCAGACAGATGGTCCTAAAGCAGGAAAAGCTCTGCTTGATTAGACTCTTATTATTTATTTTAAAACTTTCCCTTAGGCCTTGCGTGATTTTGAATATCTTCAAAAATAAGAGTATTTCAATATAAAGAGAAATGGAATTAGAGATGTGTTCTTTCAAAGTAGAAGTCTTGACTTTGAAATAAAGCCAATTCTGCAAATGTTTAGTTTTGAATTATAAAATTGTTTTTTGCCAATTAAATGCTATTTAAAAACACATGTGTCATTTTCTACAATGGCCACCATATTATTGTAAATAAAATATCGGAAGAGCAAGCGAACTTACTCTGAGTTATCTTTTCTACATGATTAGAAATCAAATTGTAACAAAATAGTCCATTTAAGAAAATACTTCTTGATGTTAACCTTTTTTTTAAAGATTTATTTATTTATTTATCTTTTAGAGGGGAAGGAGAGAGGGAGAGAAACATCAATGTATGGTTGCCTTTCATGTGTCCCCTGCTGGGAACTGCCCTGCAGGGAACCAGCCTGCAACCCAGGCATGTGCCCTGACTGGGAATCGAACCGCGATTGTCTGGTTCACAGGCCTGCACTCAATCCACTGAGCTACACCAGCCAGGGCTGATGTTCACCTTTTTTAATAATCCAACTGTAATTCACTCCAAGGGTGAATATTTTCTCTATTTCCATTTCTTTTCAGTCTCATAGTAATGTTTTTAAATACAGTAATGTACTTCTACTTGTAAGTATCAAGCATTTTAAGGAGTAAGCTTTTATAAATACTATACCATGATCCTCACTGCATGGCCCATGATATTTGTTAAACTCTAACCAAGTTAGCATTATTATCTTTATAACTCCAATAATTTAAGATAAATTCGCATCATGTATATTTATTCATGATGTTTTTTATTAAGGTTAGCATTGTTTGCATGTGGCAGAAAGTGCAAAATACAGTAGCTTAAACATAATAGCTTATTTCTCTATAATGTAAAATGTTAGCAGTTCAGTACTGTTAGTGGTGGTTCCATGATCATCAGGCACCCAGGCTCCTTCTAGACCCTTGCTCTGTAATTCTTAATTTGTGGTCCAGAATTACTGCTCCATCTTTAGTCATCTCACCCATATTTCAGCCAACAGGAAAATGGAAAAGAGAAGGGAACTTGCCCCCCCTCCCCCCACCACACACACCCCATCTCTAAGGACACTTCCAGGAAGTTAAGCACACCTAGAGTACTCTTATATCCTCTTGGCCAGAACTTAGTCAAGATGGACACATCTATGGTGTCACAAATTGCATTTTTCAAAGGTGACTGCAAAAATATCTCCTGTTTCATGTGTGCATCTTCCTTGTAACTGTGCCACTCCCCTACAAGAGTTGGAGTCTCAGTTACCCTCTTCTGAATCTGAATAGGCTTGTGATGGTTTTGATAGAAGTTATTCCAGTATGACAGAGAGTGCCGGTCCTGTGATTCCCTGTCTGAAATCCTGACCCACAGAATCTGTGAGCATAATAAAAAGGTTGTTTTAATGCTCCAAGTGTTGGGTTAATTTGTTACACAGCAATAACAACTAAAACACGTGAGTAAAAGGAAAGCTTGGGAATGTAATCTTTACTTTAAGTGCCAAGTAAACATTTGAAGATTAAGGAGAATCAATTCTGGGAACAATAATCGGTGCCTGTCACAATGCTTAACACTCCTTCCCACAGAAATGGCAGGAGAGAAAAACACACCTTTTCCAAACATTTACAAGAGCCATGTTTCAAAGTAGCTTCCTGCTTTGTTCAAAAAGTATTTAGTCCTTTTTGTGGGTTTACTATATGAGGCATGGTGAATGGCTTTGTCATCAAATACACTGCCAGGGTCTTGTGGCTGTCATTTCTTTTGGGGAAAAGAAGTGATTCAAGCATGAAATGCATAATTGGATTAGGTGACCTATATGGTCTCTCTTATACTGTGATATTGTACAGTAGTATGGTATTAAAAAGAACACCCGTTGGATTTAAAATATCTTGGCAAACAGTTCTCATAATAATATTCATTTGTATCAATTCTTATATCAAAAACAATCAGCCGAAAAAGTAAAGCTTGATCCTGATATTCCTATTATGTTAATATTGTTCTCAGAATGAATGTTCACTTTTCAAATCATAGTCTGGCATTTATTCACTACCACATAACCATTTTGGTAATTTCTGATTTTCTTTGCTTTCATTTTCAGAACATATCCTTTTGACCCTTGGAATGCAGTGACAGTGGCTTTCGGGGACTATTTATCTTCAAATTCTTTAAAAGAACACACTGATTGATTCTTTGGTTGTTGATTTACAAAGCAATTTGCATTACTTTCTCAGAAAATCAGAAGCAACTGCAAAAGAATTCAGGAACTCCAAGAATTCAGCATTGGAATAAAATAAGAGTGATACCAAATTTGTTTTCACACCTGGGAAATTAAAAAGGTATTGGACAGAGACATTGATTTGTTTATATGTCATTGCCAAAAGAAGCCAATAGTATGGACAAATCAGTGGTCTGGGCAAGCTTCACAATAGATAATAACTATGACCAATCAATTATACAGCATTTCTTACCAATAATTGAGATGGATCCTGATCAACTGTCTTCATACAAGACATATATACCCACTCAAGGAGAAAAAAGGGCAAATCGAAAGGACACAGGCACTGTGTTTGTGCAGGGCCCACTGTGGCCATCACTCACAGTTTTATATACCTTCGCAGTTCAGCAGTGACTACCATTTTGGTGGCTCTAGTTGATATTATCCAGAGACAGAATCCAGTTAGTTGGTCTCGACCATCAGTGGATTGGCTGGCCTTGAGTGAGAGGCTCTCTCCTGGTTCAGTCAGTGTGGCCAGTGGAATGCAGGATAAGGAAGTGGTCAGGTTTATAAATACATGACAAGGCCAGCTTCTTCAGCAGAAAGGAAAGTGTAAAACATGGGCACTGCATGCGATACAGGCACCACACAAGGTATCTGCTGAAAGATGTTCTTATAAAGTTAGATCCTAAGAAACAACACAGAATATATCCTTAAATGGTCCATTTTGTAAGTAGGATATGGCTTTCCTATTAAGGACTAGGTTGGACTCACAACTTTATCTCTGCTTCCTAAAATTCCACTAAAATAGTGGCTAAAGGAATGGGGAAATAAAACTGTAAGCTCATAAGGACAAAAGAACAAGAGAACCATAATAAAATTTAAAATAATAAAAATTTTAAATTATTCAGTTTTAAAAAGGAAGGAAATTTTGATATGTGCTACAACATGGATACTGAGGATATTATGCTAAGTAAAATTAAGCCAGTCAAAAAAGACGAATACTGTATGATTCCACTTAGATGAGATATCTAGAGTAGTCGCAATTTTTGGAAACAGAAAGTAGAATGGTGGTTGCCAGCAGCTGAGGGGAGGGGAAATTAAGTGTTGTTTAATGGGTAAAGAGTTTCAGTTTTGCAAGATGAAAGAATTCTGGAATCAGATGTAAAACTGTAAATATACTTAACACTACAGAACTACAGACTTAAAAATTATTAAGATGGTAAACTTTGTTATGTGTATTTTCCCACAATTTAAACTTTTAAAAATGATTTAATTACAAATGAAAAAAGCAGGAGAGAAGAACAGATGAGAATTATCGACTAGAATTTTGGAACCAACTTAGCAAACTAGAGAATGCTAGAACCTAAGCTTGGGTGAGGGGTCAGTGAGAGGAAGCCAGCAAGAAGCAAGATCACATCTATATCACAGAGCACAGAAGCACAGAATCCAGAGACTCCACATGCCTCCAAGAGGGATGAGGAGCGAAGATTAATGAAATGTTTGAATGGGGACCTGGTAACTCCATCCACCTTCTGACCGGTCCTCTGGCCTACGTAGGCCAGCAACTGCTCTCCTTCATGCCTAGCAGGAGATGGAGGAGTCGACCTCCTGTAGAGGTTTTCACAGCTGATTGTGGGGATAAGGTACTGTTCTGAAAAGAAAGTACCTTATCCCCAAATTGATTCCAATTTGTTGAACTACTTATTAGTGGCCTTCTTCCTCCACTGGACTCCCAAATTTCTGAGAACCAGATTCATACCCTTCCAAGCAGGAAATCAGAGGACTCCTCTTCAGGGAACTGACCAGCAGAAAAGGCAAGAAGTACAGATGCTGATATCTTAGGTTGAAAAACCCAGCTCTCTTGTTTTTCATCCCATTTTGAAGTTCACCAGTCAGTAATCACTACCACCTCCATACACTGCATAAACATGAATTCAGGTAAGAATCACCAGGTGTCCAATAAAAACTTTTAGTATGAAAGACTGGCACCAAAATAAATGA